AACGGGCACCATGAAAATATCCCGGATGCTGGTGGCAGGGAGGGACGACATAACCTTCCTCGACGGCGTCGACCGTCAGATCCACCACCCGAGGCTCCTCGGACCTCTGCCTCTTCGACGCTCCTTGAGACACAGGAGATTGGCTCTCTTGAGGCGAAGAGGACGAAGTTTGCCCCCCCGGCATCGCGACCTCCTGTCCGACCAGCTGGCTCACCCTCGTCCTTGGGGCCGCGGCATTCCTAGTGGCGCGCAACTGCTTCACCCGCTCCTCGACGGAAGACATGTTCGCTGCAAAAATAAAGAAAAGAGTTAGCGACGATCAAAAACCCCGACCACGGGGGGGAAACGAACATTCCTACCTAGGTAATCCAAAGCGGCCGCCCCGGTCGCACAATCGAGCAAAGTCTTAGTATTTATCAAACGCTTCTTGGTGCGTACGTTCCCCTGAGCGTCAAGGACATACCGACCGTCGGGCGTCACCAGCTTCGACGGAGGGAGAGACCGCACAAAGGCAATTATTTTCAAATAGGCGGCCATGTCCTTCTCCTCGAGGGTCCCCGCCCGGACGATATACCTATCCGTCCCTCGACTGAAATGCTCCGCGGTCCACAACAGATGTATCTTAGGAAGCCACGCGCGGAACCGCTGGCCATCTACCGTTCGCTCGCCCTCGTCGAAGAGAGTGTCCGAGCCGTGCTGCGTGATCGGCTTGACGAGGTAGAACCGGTTTTTGAAGTCTTTGACAGAATCGCTATACGCTTTGAAATTTTTTGTCGATTGCTTGAAGGAGACCCATCCGTGGCGGCCGTGCACCGTCTGCCGCTGCAGATGGAAGATACGGAAGAATAACGGCACCGTCGGCTCCACCGAGAGGTAGAAACACACCACCTCGAAAGCCCGGATGAAAGTCAAAGCATTGGGGTGCAGCTGGGACGGGGCAAGACGCAGCCAGTCAAAAAGCCCCAGATGGAAGGCGGAAAACGGTAACCGGAGCCGGGCTTCTTTAAAATAGAATTCATGCATCGGGAACATCCGCCGCCCATATCGCGAACAGATGCGGTGATGTTTTTTTGGCCGGTACACCTGCCAGTGCTGTGGTTCTCCTATGGGCGTATCCTCGACCGTGGCGTACACGTCGGACGTGTCGGCCACAAAGCAAGAAGGGGTAGAAAGTGGCTCCTCGGCCGCCCACTCCTCGGACGGGGCAATACGCTCGTCGTCATACTCCGGAACCTCAGGTTCATTGTCTTCAACCATTATCCTCGGCACCAGAGCTGACATCTACACCTGAAAGCAGAGGACATCGGTGAATTCGATAGCCAGGATCAAATCCACCCTTCCACCGCAAGTCAAGTGAAAGGGCGACAAAGGCCGGGAAGCGACGAGCAAACACTCGCTCCCCGTCTACCCTCCTCGGGGATCAAAGACCGACCCCTCGCCCCCTCTCGGGACGGCCATCGGAGAAGGTACTTCTCCCCGGGGCATTCATCGGAGAAAGCCCCCGTCCTCGGGGCATTCATCAGAAAAAGCTCCCGTCCTCGGGGCATTCATCGGAACCAGCCTACCGTCCCCGGGACATTCATCAGAAAACTCGCCAGACGCGGCGGAACTCGCGTCCCTCCTCGGGGCGTTCATCACGCCCCGACCACACGTTCCAATTAAACGACGGAAATAAAAAGGGAGGGAAAAGAGGAACTCACTTGTAACGGCGGCGGACGGAAGAAAAGATCAACGGTACGGCGGCGATCGGCGGTAAGCGGCGGACGAGCAGAGACGATAAAGCTTAGCAGAGAGAAAAGTAACAGAATGAGCGGGGACCTCCCCATTTATAACCCGGCGCGGGACTCGAAGCGACCCTAGGCTCATTAATGACATAGGGTAGCCGCCCCTACGACCGCTTAACGCAAGACACGTGGCGGCAACCTGACAGTCGCGTCCCTTCACCTGCCTCCTCCCCGTTCTGCCGACGACCGGAGACCTTCGTGCGAGTGCCCGCTCCAGGTGCGACGACCTTAAGTCCTCGCTCTTTCCCCAGAGCTTCGACTTGGGGGGCTCCTGTTCCGGTATGGGCCTAACCTCGGCAGGCCCAATACCGCGGGCGACCCAACAAGCGAACCGGGCACGCCAGGCACGCGCCCCCTTCGAGACGAGCAGGGCAAGCCGCCGAACACAAGCTACGTCTCCACAACCTTTTGTCGTCCACCACGCCGGACGGGCAGAACCGCCCGGGCTCCCCTCCCCGGGGAGAATAACGTGCTCGACGCACGTTCTCCACGTGCTCCCCTCCGCGGGGACACGTCACCGGCCAGTTGCCCACCTCCGAAAGAGCAGGTCAAACCCACTTTCCGGGGATCTAGGAGCGGTTGAACTAGGGCGAAGACCACGTCCTGGTCTTCACTACGCCACGTAAGCCCTAGCAGTCATTAGGGTTGGGCCTGGTCATCCAGCCCACCTCGAATGACCGTTGGGCCAGCGCTGGGGTCTCTCTATAAATACTCTCTTCCTCAAGAGGGTCAGGTAACGCTTCTTGCCCTTTTTTCTGTACTATTGCTTCCACTCTGTCCAACTTCTTACTTTGGCATCGGAGTGTCTTGCAGGCACACCCCCCTCCTCCTTCTCACCCCGGTGAACAGGTAGCAGCCCAACAGAGTGTGGCCAGTCCGTGATCCCCTCCTGATCAGGTCAGATCAAATTTGAAGGTGGAACACAATTATAATAAGTTGATGGAAACAATCGAGAAAAAACAGTAACACTAAAGAAAACGAATAGTTTTGAAATAATAAAATTAAACTGAGGATATTTTAGTAAATATAATAATTTTTAAATATCAAAACTCATATTCCCTCCCCTCCCCTCTAAATTCCCCCAATTCGGAGGGAACCAAAAAGTGTGTTTTGGAGGAATGCCCTCTAGCACCAGTTTCCCTATTGCCGTTTATTTGTTTTCTTTACCAAAGTTTAGTTATTTTGTTGTTAATTTTTATAGGCGAGTATTGCATCACTTCCGTTTGTAAAGACATGTTATTTTATGAGGTGCACCTATTTCCCTCTATACTTTACATAGGGCGAGGGTTTTTAATGAGGTCCCTCATTTTATTAATTCATATAATATGTGTTTGCTGGCTATACCTTTTCGCAGAAAACCTAAAAACTTGGGAGAAGATCACCCTATGAGGCAACCAAAATGATGGATCCATAAGCAGGATCCTTGTCGTTCTCAAAGGTGGTCAAAATGTTGGATCCTTAAGTGAGATCCTCGCTATAACACCCTATTATCCCCAAAGCGCAACATAATGTGAAAATATACATTTACACACATAGGGTTTCACTCAAACACAACATACATCTCCTCCGTAACACGAGTTATATAAAACATGCATAATTTAAACAACTGTCATCACATGATTCCCTTTACATAAGCTCATCACAGTTAAATTGAAACAATTAAAATAATTCATCAACCAATTAAGTTGCGTAACATAAAATAAGGTTATGGCTAACAACCTTCCACATCATCAACATCGCAAAGTAATGACAATAATAAAACAAAAAAGTTTGTTCGTCCAGTATTATATATCATAGCAACAAAATTTAAAACATCGCAAAAACGGAAAAAGAAAGAAGAACAGATTCAACGCCATCCTTCAGCTTATAAGCAACTACTCATTTACTTGCTCATTTGTATCTTAAGAAGGAGCACAAAATCATACAAACAACAAAGGAGTGAGAATACGCTCATAATATATAATGGTACAATAGTATGCAAGGGTAGTCTAAACAAACATCAACAATTATTCAACACAACTCATTGCATACATTCACCAAAGTATTCTCAATTATCAACATCAATATAATCATCCAATACATATGCAAATAATGAATATAAATTATCAACACTAAGACTCAACATTGCATGTGGTATCATTTATAAAAAACTTGGGTCCATCTCTCTCCTGAATCCCGACTATAGAACCATAACACACCAAATCGTTAACATATCATAAGTAACGCATCACCAATTTCCATATGGAACCAGCTACTCGCTCCTGAATCCTCATCATCAAACCAATTCTCATTTCTCTATGACTTCTTCAACTATTGTTACATCTCTCTTTGATGATTATTTCTCTTTATGATGATTATTCTTATTGTTGGTCTTTCCGTTGATTATTAGTTAGTTTGATTTAATTGTTTAATTTTAAAGTTAATTTGTAACATGCTAGTTTTAGCTTAAAAAAAATTGTATATTTTTAATTATTTATTTATTTTTATATTTGTATATATTTCAAAAACACTAAAACATACTATCTACAAAGTGTTTATACAATGTTAAAATGGAATTTATCCCATTGACAATAAATTGAAAGCAGTAAAGTGTTCACATTCTCAAAATCATTGAATCAAACACTACATACATTCTGTCCACACTACGGTTAAAAAAAACAGTAACATCATAATTATCATCACCATCATCCTCTATGATTCTACTGCAGGGCGCACTGTACCCTCTGTGCCCAACCAGTCATATCATCATCTTCATCATATATGCCTCCTATTGTCGCTGCTGATGTTTCCTCCTTGTCTCCTTTTCCATATTGACACTATGAAGTGTAGTTTCCTCGCACTCATCGTTCTCCATGTCTGTCAACTGTGATGAAGTTTTACCTGGAAGAACAGCCTCGATTTATATTTTATTATATATTTTCTTCATAATCATATTTTTCACATGTTATGTTATTCATACTATTGTAATCCTAATCTCTTTCTCCTTTTGTCATGAATCAGTTTGGCCAGTCTTAAGAATTTCTACTTTTAACACAGTTAGCACTTCAAATCACATTTTATGAATGATGCAGGTTGGTTCATTTAACTAGAAGAAAACAATATAGACATCAATAATACTCATATTATTTCATAAGTGTGTACAACAATACTATTATTCAATAATTTTTTCTGATACACAAAATGACATTACAAAAATTACACTATTACAGTCCCCTTCTACTTTCTTGGAGTCTCCAGCTTAAATTCCTCACCAATAAGTTGTTTCAAGTTTGGAAGTTCTACAATAACAAACTCAGATGAGTTCTCAGAATTTGTCTCCAAAACTCTCTCCCTCATTGACACCTTTCCATTATTCACAACTCTCATTGCAGTCATATTCTTAGGCACCCCCAAGAATGTAACCTTTTCTATGATCCATTTTTTATCCAATGCAAATTTTCCATTTGTAACATTTGATCTAACAGAAACACTAGTGTTATTCAATTCACCATAAAATCTAACAAATGTCCATTGATCTTTCGCTTCTAGATCAACAGCCTCGCCATCATCCAAATAAACCTGTCCATAGCTATTTCCAGTTCCATTAAAAACAACCACAAGTTCGAATGAGGTGTTCCGCGCTGCTTCCGTTGTCATTGCCTCACCTTGTAAGGCCAAAATGTTACCTTCTCCAACATGCACATTTATGTGATCAGATGGTGCATCAAGTGTGACAGTTTTGCCTGATTCAGCACTCACTGAATTTGAGAAATTAAAGAGATTAAACCAATTTCCTTTAGGAAAGTATGCATCAACCGTTGTTGCACCGGATTGTAGCACAGGTGAGACTAGAACTCCTTTGCCTAGTAGAAACTGTGAGTTTATTTCATATGTTGCAGTATCCTCGGGGAACGAAAAGAATAGCGGCCGCGCTATAGGTGTCCCGTTTTTACTTGATTCGTACATTAGTGTGTAGAAATATGGAAGAAGGCGATAGCGAAGGCCGAGCACTTTTTTAGCTGATGCTGCCACTGAATCCCATAGATAAAGCTCTTGCCTGTTGGAGTTCTTATCTGAATGATCTCTAGCAAACGGGTAAAAGGCTCCCAACTACATGAAGAAAAATAAAAAGTATTAGATCTTGTTGAAAATTTATCAGATACTAGCAAATTTTGTGGATGAATGAATGTTTGTTACCTGGATCCAGCGGCGACAAAGTTCTTCATTTGTGCTACCTTGGAAGCCACATATATCTGCTCCAACCATTGGAACTCCAAAGATTCCAAAGTTCAATATTGTTGGAATTGAGTAAGCTAAATCATTCCATGAAGCAGCATTATCTCCTGTCCAATGAGCTGCATACCTGCCAGAGCTTATGAAAGTCGATCTACTCAAAATGAATGGCCTTTTACCAGTTACATTCACTAAGACCTTGTTAGTTGTTTTGGAATTTAACAGTCCATACAAATTGTGAGCATCATACTCGGTGATATTACCATAATGTATCGCTGTTGCTGGCACTGTTCTATCGTTAATCGGTCTTTGACCTCCATTGCTGTTAATTTTGTATGGAGGGTTGTCAAGACTAGAATTTTGATTGTTAGGAGAAGTTATGAAATTAGCTAATTCGTTCATGTCAAGCCAAAGTCCATCAAAAGCGAGAAGTTCCCTAAACAGTTTGATTTCTTCACCCCAATAGTCTAGGGTTTTAGGGTTAAGAAAATCAGGATAGTAAACTTGTCCAGGCCAAACTTGACCTTGATAATTGGTTCCGTTTCTCTTTATGTAGATATCGGCTTTCAAGCCTCGATTATAGGTATCGTATGTGTCATTGATACCAATACCTGTGTACAAAATTTGTCTCGAATCAATCACATTGTTGTTAAGTTTCAAAGATATTTTATGGTGTTAGAGTAAAGTACCTGGATCTATAATAGGCACGTATTTTTGACCATTTTTGTGAAGAGTGTCAACGAAAATCTTCATCTTATCAAGCGGAAAATTAACAGGATCGAGTGTGAATATTTTATATGCGTCCATGTAATCGATATCTGTCCACATAACTTCCAGAGGTATACCAGATTTTGAATAGTTCTGTACCACTTCTGTGATATCAGTTACACTCTTGTAGCCATATCGACACTGATGAAAACCTTCACAAAGAGTTAACAACGATGTGAATCAGCATAGGAATTCGATATAACGAATCAGCATGAATAGAAGAACAAAAACGGAATGAATTACATTGTTGGACTTACCAAAAGACCAATAAGGCATAGGAGCAGGCCTACCAATGAGTTCAGTGTACTGTTCCAAAACCAACTCAGGAGAAGAACCAGCAAAGAAATAGAAATCAAAAACACCTCCAATCACCTTATAAGTAACACGATCACCGCTATAAGCAATATCCATTCCATTACTATTAAGAAGCAAAACACCATGTGTGGTTCCGTTTTTCACTTTTCCATCAGATGAACCCTTTCTCACATCCAAGTAAAACGGGTGAGAGCCATAAAGGTTCACATTAACACTGGAACTAGGAATATCTGCATTCCAAAGAGTGAAATTATTGCCTGCTTGCAACTTGAAGGTACTCTTAGTATGCTCTCCAAAACCATACAGAGAAGATCTGTCTGAAGGTAGAGAAGTAGAAAGCTGCAAGTATTGATCTTTAAACACGAGAAACGTTTCGGGGTTTGAAGGGTCTTGTGGTGAAGTGTTGAAGAGTGTGTCATTGGAGGATTTGCGAGTGATGGTGAATCCAAATGGACTTGTGTTGTTGAGTGTGAAGATAAGGTCTGAATCTGGATGTGTGAGTATGTATGTTGAATTTTGAGGATTATCGTCTAGAATATGGTGAGATACAGAAGAAGGAGAAGAAGATGATTCTCTAGGAATCACTTCTTGTGGAATTTCCCATCTTTGATTATTAGAATCAGTGATCCTTACTCTTAATCTATCCTTGGTCTCAAAACTGCAATTCAGAGTTGAAAAAAAAAAGTTAACAGTTTAATAATAATAATCATATGATTATGTCTTTTGAGACAAGAAATTAAAGTAAACTATGATCGGTTACCTGACAGTGAGGTTGAGGAGTTGAATATCTGTTCCAAAGACAGACGAGGAATTGATGAGTTTAAGGTTAGCAGTCAAAGAATTTGCTGTCGTGTTGGTTACATTTGTGATTGTGTAGCCATAACCAACTGGTTCATCTGCTACAGTTTGAGATATGACTATGAAAAAAATGAAACAGAAGATTAAGGTTTGAATTCTAGGACTTGCAATCATTTTGATTGTTTTTGATGTGTTTGAGGAAAGAAGGATAGAAAATCTTTATATAAGCGAGCAATAATGAGGTATTTATTGAGACAATATTTAACTCATCAGTTACATACAGAATTAGTTAATGAATTATCATTATATAAAGAAATTATTTAATAGATTGGATTTATTCCATTCATTCAACCAATTCATCTATTTAACAAAATGGGTTGATACAATCCTTCTCATTTTATAAATTCAATAAATCCCATTTTATATTTTATTTTACTTTTAAAATTTTAAAATTTCTTTTTTTGCTTCTAACTAATTTCTTTTTTTGCTTTTAACTAATTTTAAGAAAATTTTATTTTATTTAATTAATTTTTTACAACAATTATTTTTATTTTAATTTCACAAAAAAAACTGTTTTTAAAATTTTCTCTCCCTTAACTAATTTTATTTTAAAAACTATATAAAAATATTTCTCTCTATTCACTATCGATGCGGCTATCGATCAAGTAATAGCTATATAAGACTATTCGTGGTGCAATTTGAATCAATTTTAAGATAAAAGATAAATTTACACATAGTCGCTCGATTTTAAATGATCGATTATAAAAATATGATCCGATCTAATTTCATACTATTTGATTTAGATTAGTTTTTAAATATCCAAATATCCAAATTTTATTAATATTATAAAAAAATGTGAATAATAAGTTATATATATATATATATATATATATATATATATATATATATATATATATATATATATATATATATATATATATATATATATATATATATATATATATATATATATATATATATATATATATATATATATATAAAACGTTGGATTTGATTTGGATCGGTTTTAAAATATCAAACAAATCTAATTTGAGTTGAGTGATTTTTATAGAAAAGATTCAAACATGTTATTTGTTTTTTTTTTTAATTATTTTTTGCAACTTTTGATTTTTTATAGATAATTTTTACTTTTATTTGAATCGATTTGGATTTAAATCTCTTTAATTAATATAATACCATCATTTTTCATTGATGGTATGTTGCGTCGACTTCTTCATGAACCACTTTTAGCATGTTATTTTTCAACTAGGAAGTTAACAAAAAAGGGGTATCTTTTATGCTAAGTTTTGATGTGTTTGAAGAAAACAGGATATAAGGAATAATGAGATGGCAATAAAATCTATTTTAAAAATATTTATTCGGTCAAACCAATAATTAATTCATTTAGGTTATCAGTTACATAAAAATTATTTAACGAATTAGATCCAATTTATTAATTACTTAAAGAGTTATTTAAGGGATTGGATTAAATCTATTTTATTTTATAAATTTAATGATTCATATTTTATTTTTAAAATTTTATAAAATTAATTTATTTTTAACTAATTTTAAGAAAAAAATATTTTATTTAAATAATCTTTTACATCAATTTTTTTTTTTTAAATTCACAAAAATATCTATTTTAAAAATCATATAAATTGTTCTCACACACAAATGATATAATTGTGGATTTCAGACACTAACTACTCAGTGCAATAAATTTTATTGATGATGTTTTGGACCGACCACGAGCCCAATGTGCAAAAAGGCTCATTTACCATTTCAAGAGGGCTAACCCAAGATGAAAAATGTCTACTGACATTTTTCATATTTTAATATATATATATATATATATATATATATATATATATATATATATATATATATATATATATATATATATATATATATATATATATATATATATATATATATATATATATATATATATATATATATATATATATATATATATATATATATATATATATATATATATATATATATATATATATATATATATATATATATATATGTGTGTGTGTGTTTATATATATATTTTTAGGAATTAATCTGTCACTTTCAGTTATACCTCATACCCCCTCTAATCTGCATGAAAAGACAAACTGATCCTGCAAAATATTTTTTTAAAACTTCCAAATTGATAGTGTTGGGACATAAATTTCAAATATATGGAGCGATACCGAAAATTTTGAAGCAACAGTCGAGAATTTTGAAACTAATAAGTTTTCCCACAAAAATTACATGATTTACGATTTTTTGTACCGAAAGTTTTGAAAATTTCGATATTTTTTACCGACAACCTCATAATTTCTACCTGAAATTTCATAATTTTCAGTATTTTTCACCGAAAATTTTAAAATTACCGGTATAAAACCCATTATTTTTATCGAAAATTTCAAAATTCCCCGTAGTTATAAAAATCTAGTTTTGTACCGGGAATTTTGAAATTTTCGATAATTATAAAAATTTAGTTTTATACTGGAAATTTTGAAATTTCCGATAATTACCATTATTACTTTTTTTCCAATATTTATTTTTTTCTTCTTTTGCAGTGAAATCCAAAGGCAGAGACAATAATATTGCAAGGAAAGCTGTTGATCGAGCAGCATACCAGGTAGGGCTGACAGGGGTGCTGATGTTGAGTCTTCCCATCTATGGGCATGATGGGTGGTCCCCACCGGTTCACACCGAAAGCGGTTGGCTGAGCGGGTTCTTTTCCAAGCGCCGAGTGGAACCTCGTTCCACTCGGCGCCGCCTAGTTCAATTAGCAGAGCAGGCTATAGATGAGGTGCTGCTAGATGTTCTTGTATCTGATCTCGTTGGTGAGCCGATGGTTAATCCAGTTGTTCAGGAGATTGTTGGTAGGTTTGCAATTCAACTTTGAAATTCTAGTAACAGACAGTCGATGTTATACTGGATGTTGATAACACGAAATCATATAGATATTTTCATGCATATTTCAACTAAAGTCTAACCGTTTTCGATCCGATTTCGGGTTATTTCCGTGTATTTGTCTGATGTTTTTGCAGGTATTCAACGATCACGTCCAAACAAGACAACATGAAGAAAAGAAGCAATCCCAGATGAAATATGGACGAAAAAGGAGTGAAAACACAATGAAAAGCGCAGCAGACAGTTTTTGCTGATGTGACGACCGTCACAGATGCATGACGACCGTCACACGGGTGACGACCGTCACACCTTGTGACGACCGTCATGCAGGCAAAAACGCCCCACTCAGATTACACGTCAAAAGAGCAGTTCCAATTCCCATTAAATGGTCCACTACTCCCTAAATTATCTGCCTCAAGGTCCATCATCCTCAGAGATAACCGTTGGGATTCCACTTCTATAAAAAGGGGAGCAGAGGACTTCAGAAAGGGAGCTGCATTCATACCACGAAGTGCTGCCAAATTTAATTTCCAGAGCAAATTTACTTTCAGTTATTATTTGTATCCATTTCTCCAGTTTTATTTGTATCCCTTTCCTTTATTTCCCTGCCATTTTCCTCATTCCCATTTCCGCTCTTCTGTAATTGTTACTGCACTGTACGATCGAATTGGAACTAAAGACAGAATCCTGCCAACATCTGTGGAGGATCTGCCCAAAGGCCAATTGGCATTATTTACAGGTTTTCATTTTGATCGACTTCTATTTTATCATAATGCAATTTATTATTTATTATTATTATTTATGTTTTGCTTTTCCAAATTCCATGTCTAGCTAAACTTAGGTAATCGATATGTAGTAATAATTCGAATGGGATTTGATAACTCTTGTTTGAAAACTTTCTTTTCACAAAAATAACTTATGGTCTAAGTGTTTAAAATTGATTTACGAAATAAACTTCGTCGCGAAAGCGAGAACTTATTTTAAAGTAGTTTTGCCACGAAAGTGGGAAATTAATTAAGATATGAACCAACAAGCGAAAGCTGCGGTAAGGTCAGATAGTAAACACTAGGCATTTGTTTTAATAACAGCGAAAGCACTTTAAAACGAATTAGAACTTAGAGATTTCCAAAAAGTAATTTTAACCCCGAACGGAATACGAAAGTGTACGTTAGGCCCTTAGGATTATGATTAGCGTCAATAACCATTGTGAGACGAGAGTCTTCAAATCTCCATTTTCTGCTTAAATGAACTGTGAAAACTATTTCATACACCAGTAACTTATCAAATCCCTGAAGAACACAATTACTACGTATCGATTCAATTAATTAAAATCTAAATAGTAATCTTAGTTTCCCCTTTTAGTGACAATCTTATTCCCTTAAAACATATTCTACCTAGCTAAACATAGTAACTCCCGAGAACACTAGATTGATTACAAGTCCCTGTGGGATCGATATCTTTTATTACTACGCGATAGACTGTGCACTTGCAGTTAGTTGTATTAGACATAGAAAGTCGCGATCAAGTTTTTGGCGCCGTTGTCGGGGACCCGTTTAGTCAATAGTGTAACCTTCTATTACGCCGTATAGACTAGGTAAACAATTTTCATTTTTCCTTTACTAGTGCTGTCGATTGTATGCCAAGTGATCGCCCACAAAGCGATATCTTGAAACCTTCAGTCGCAGAACTAGAACGCTTCTTACACCTAAGAAGCCGAATCATTGAGTACCAACTCAAACATAACATTCCCGATCCTCTCACTCCCATTCCCAAATCAGAAGAAGAAGAACCAACGATGGCTGAAGGACCTCCGAACAAATCGCTGAAGGCATACGCTACACCATCTCAGATGGAGCCTAGAAGTAGCATTGTTGCCCCAGCTATTACCCGAAATGATTTTGAGCTAAAACCATCATTGCTGTCGGCTGTACAACAAAACCAATTCTCAGGAAACGCAACTGAGGATCCGAACGAACATCTAACGAAGTTTGTACAATACGCAGACACAGTGAAGGCAAATGGAGTAACTCCAGACGCGATAAGACTTCTTCTTTTCCCATTCTCTCTTAGAGATAGAGCGTGGACATGGTTACAATCGTTACCATCCAACTCCGTTACGACGTGGGAGCAATTGAAGAACGTCTTCTTAGCGAGATATTTTCCACCAAGCAAAACTGCTATGCTTAGAGCTCAAATCAACGGATTTCGACAGAAAGATACTGAATCTCTTTACGAAGCATGGGAACGATTCAAAGATA